ATTGAAGATCGACCAGTTCTTTTTGGTATTGTGACTTTTTTCTATCTTCTTCTTCTTTTTTTTTAACAGTGCAAACTTTTGTTTTATTGGTCTGATTTGTTCACAGTTCAGCTGCCAGCTCAGAGGCGTGCAGGGCCAGCGAACAGGGAGCAAAGAAGTCATTTGGAAACTTCCAGAATCAAGAGTCTGCAGGTCCTCCAGCCTAGGGCTTGCTCTCAGCCCTGCAGGGGTGGGGTGGGGAAATGGGTCATTTTAGAAGGGGGGCCTGAGTCTGTTCTTGACAGCAGTAGGCAGAAGGCCTCAGAAAGTGCTTTATGAAAGACCTACAGAAAAGGGGAGAAGAATGCATCACTCTCACTTGGTGGCCTCCTTTTTCCTTTTCACAAAGCAGTAGCAGCAGGAGGGGGAGAGGCAGAAGGCAGAGGAGTCAGGACTGGTTCAGATCAGGAAGGGCCAAGGAGGCAAGAACTAAGGTGTTCAGGCCCTGAGGGAAGACTACTCCAGGCCTGGAGGGAGGCCAACAGCTTGGAGACCTGGTCTCTCACACATAGGTCCTCGTGGGCCAGGCAGTGAGAGCTAGTGGGAAAGGCACCCCGGAAGGGTTGGGCATTCTACTGGGGCTCCCCAGGACCACGGTGTCCCAGATAGACAAGGACTATCAGAACACGTCCCTGCTTGTCAGCCAATCAGCTTCTTGAGGAAGGCTTCAAGCTGGTCCTCACCCTTGAGGCCCATAAACTTGTCCACCATGTCCCCATTCTTGATGGCCGGCACAGTGGGCATAGCAGACACCTTGTACTCGATGGCGAGATCTGTGTGGTTGCCGATGTCCACCTTGGCCATTACAACCTTCCCGTGCTGCTTGGTCACCATCTTCTATAACCTCAGCCCCAGGATCTTGCAGAGGTCACACCATCGTGCATGGTGACGATTCGGTACTGAAGGTCAGGCACATCCTGGATGTTAAAGGTGGTGGTACAGACTCGGGTGGTGTGTATACTCTGGGCTTGGCAGGGTGTTGCTGCCAGGCAACCAGGATGGCACTGTGCATTCTGAAAGACCCCAGATGTGAGGGTTGCCCAGCAACCCTGAGGGGGCTTCCTAGCGATGACCAGGGCCAGGAACCTCCCATCTCCTTGCAGCATGAGTGGAGGGATGCACAGCCGGGCCCTCCCTGCCCATCAAGGCTCCATCTCCTTTTGATGTTTCCTGTGTCATTCAATATTTTCCCCTTGTTGTTGTTGTTAAGTGTTGTCAACTCATAGTGACTCTGTATTGGGTTCCCAAGGAGTGGCTGGTGAGTTTGAACCACCAACCTTGTGGTTGAACAGACCTTGAGGTGGAAGGTGCCACACCAGAACTCCAATTTGATATTACAACCTGAGGCTCGATTTTTCTTTACTTTTTTCAGCTTGAGAAATGCTGACTATGTTCGCTTGGTTTTCTAACTCCACATTTCATGATACTTGACTTAGTATTCTTGAGTTGCCCTTTGAAATTTTCTGTTCAGCTCTTTAACTTCATCATTTTTTTCAGCTGGTTTTTCTTCTCTACATCAAAAGCATGTTTGAGAGTCTCTTCTCACATCCATTTTGTCATTTCTTTCTTTCCTGCCCTTTGCATTACCTTCTGCTTCCTTTTTGCATGGGATGCCATCCCCTACTCTTCTCTAGTCTCTGGTCATTAGTGTCTGATGCATCGAATCTGGTCTTCAGATGGTCTCAAAATTCAGGTGGGATATACTTAAGGTCATATTTTGGCTCTCATGGACTTGTTTTCATTTTGTTCAGATTCAGCCTGAACTTGCAGATGAGCAAATGAAGATCTGTTCTACAGTCCCTGGCCTTGTTTTGACTGATGATATTGAGCTTCTCCATTATCTCTTCCCACTGATATAGAAATTTTGATTCCTGTGTATTCTATCTGGTGAGGTTCACATGTATAGTCACATGTTATGTTGCTGAGAAAAGATATTTGTAATGTCTTGCCCAATTCTATCATGCAAGCTCCAGCATTATTTCTAGCCAAGGACATATTTTCCAAATACTACTACTTTTACTTTGTTTCCAACTTTCACATTTGAATCACCAGTAATTATAAATGCATCTTGATTGCATGTTTGACCAATCTCAGACTTAAAGAAGTTGTTAGAATTCTTCAATTTCATCATCACTAACTTTAGTGGTTAGTAAGTAAATTTGAATAATAATGATATTGATTTGTGTTTTTTGCAGGAATATGGATATTATCGTGTCACAGACAGCATTGTACTTTAAGATGGATGTTGAAATGTTGTTTTTTTTTTATGATAAATATGCGATTCCTCTTTAATGTGTTGTTCCCAGTATAATAAACGATATGATTGTCGTATTGAAAATGTTCACATCAGTCCATTTCAGCTCACTAATGCCTAGGATATTGATCTTTATGCATTCCATTTCATATGACTTCAAAATTCTTTAGATTCATCATTTGTACATTTCACATTCTTCTTATTAATAGATATTTGCTGTTGTTTCTTCTCATTTTGAGTGGTGCCCCATCATTAAATTAAGGTCCCTAAAGCTTTGCTCCATCCATGCCATTATGGGCAACTCTACTTTGAGGAGACAGCTCTTTCCCAGTCATATTTTGAATGTCTTCCATTCTGAGGGACTCATAGTCTGTCACTTTATCATACAGTGGAGTCCTGGTGTGGCACTGCAGGGCAATGTGCTAAACTGCAAGGTCAGTTTGAGTTGTAAAGTTGGCAGTTCAAATCCATCAGCTGTTCTCAGAAACCGTATACAGGGTTTCTGTGAGTCAGAACTGACTTGACGACACTTAACAACAACATTGTACACAATTTTGCTGTTGTTCATAAGGTTTTCAGTGGTCCATATGGTTTTTAGAAGTGGTCAGCCTCTCCTTCTTCCTTGTCCATCTTAGTCTAGAAGCGCACCTGAAACTTTTCCACCATGGGTGACTCTGATGGTATTTTAACTACTGATGGCACAGCTTTCAGCATCACAGCACCACACAAGCCACTACAGTATAACAAACTGGCAGACAGTGTGACTATAAGTATGTATAGTGGTGGTGGCGGTATGCCGTGGAGTTGGTTTCGACTCATAGCACCCCTGCATAGGATTTCCAAGCCTGTAAATCTTCAGTATGGGATATAGATGGGAGTAGAAAGCTTCATCTTTTCCTCATGGGATGGCTGGTAGTTTTGAACTGCTGACCCTGAGGTTAGTAGCCTGACTTAGAACCACTATGCTACCAGAGCTCCTTATGAGTATGTGACTATGAGTGGTAGAATGTGAATATAAGGTAAGTTATTGTGATTTATGAAGGTAAACCCTTAGCTCAAGTAGTTGAAAATGTTTTGGGGGAGTTGGTAAAGGTGGAATAGAAGAAGGAATTTCTTTTTATAGTTGTTGTTGTTAAGTGCTGTCAAGTTAGTTCTGACTCCTAACACACCTGTATAGGGTTTTCAAGGAGCAGCTGGTGAGCTTGAACTGCCTACCTTGCAGAAACAGACTTTGCAGTCCAGCACATTAACCCACAGTACCACATCAGGCCTCTTTAGTTGTTGTTATGTGCAAATGAAATGTGGAGATAGGAAACCAAAAAGTAAAACCATACTTAGCGTTTCTCAAGCTGAGGAAGTAAAGAAAAATCAAGCCTCAGGTTGTAAAATTCAAGGAGTCTATGGGCAAAACATTGAATGACATAGGAAGCATCAAAAGAAGATGGAAGGGATATACAGAGTCACGGTACCAAAAAGAATTGGTCAGTCTTCAGCTCTTTCAAGAGGAAGCATATAATCAAGAACTGATGGTACTGAAGGCAGAAATCCAAGCTCCACTGAAATCCAAGTCTATTTCAACTCTTTCCAATCCATGTGACAGAGTAGAACTGCCCATAGGATTTACTAGGCTGTCATTTTTATAGAAGGAACTCTGGTGGAAGAGTGGGTTAAGCACTGGGCTGCTAACTGAAAGTTCAGGGGTTTGAACCCACCAGCAACTCCTGGGGAGAAAGAGGAGGTTGTCTATTTGCATGAAGCTTTCCAGGCCTGGACACCCTATGGCACAGCTCTACTTAGTCCTAGAGGGTCCCTGTGAGTTGGAATGAACTCTGTAGTAGTAGATTTTTTTTTTTTTTTTTAAATCTTTATAGGATCAGATTGCCAGGTCTTTCTTCCACAGAGCTTCTGGGTGGGTTTGAACCTCCAGCCTTTTGATGAACAGTTGAGTACTTTACCTTTGTACTACCAGGGCTCATTTGTAGGAGACAATTGTTCCCAAAACACATTTATTCCATTACTTCAGTAAAATAAAATGAGCACAAATTTTTGAAATCCACAAATCAAGAGAAGTTTTTACCAGACTGAAAAGTGATCACCCATGATTTATTTGTTGCATCTTAATACTTGTTCTTCATTGAACGCATCTGAAGATCTTTGGAAAAGATATACTCTAGTATTTATCAAATTTTAATACAGAATGTCTAAGTCAATTCTCAAGTTGTATTTCTGATTATTTTATTTTTGGTTCCCTAAAAGTCTAACACCTAAAATTAATTAATATATTTTAAAATGTCTCCATAGAGGATCCTGAAAGTTCTAGGTAACATTCTTGAAATAAATTCCCTGACACTTGATACTGCTCTGGTGCTTGTTACTAGATCTTTTCTTGTCTGTTTCCCTAGTTCACAGTTCCTCTGTGTGTTTTGGTTTGATGTTTTTGGGGAAAGAAATAAAAAGGTGTGGGGAAAAATATGCCACAAACCAATGGTCATTGTCCAATGTCCTATGTATGGACTTGGCAGGATTCAGGGCCATAGATAGATTTTTTTTAAAAATCTAATAATGCAACATAGTCCACATGGTTATAAATTGAAGATGGGGTTCAATGAGAAAGTAGGAGGATTATGCAGGCTTTGTGGTGAGTGATGATGACTCCAGCCTTGGCATCATGTAAGTGGGTCTGTAGGAGGAGTAATGATCTCTCTTCTTAGCTTAGTGAAATGTCTAGTTTCTTGACTTGGCGATAAATCATCTTTTCTTTACTCTTTCTTGATCTGCAGTAATAAAATAAAAATGGAAAGTAGAGAAAGAAATGATGAGAACGGAAACCAAAATAAAGTGGATAATAATGTAACAATAAATATATACAAGCAATGTCCAGAACCCATCTTGTCATGTATTCTGAGTGGTGATTCTTAAAAATAAATATATAAAAATAAAAATGGGCAGAACTTGGTAGACAACTAATGTGGGTTTAACTGGTTCATGACAGACTCTTCTAGGAGTATGCCTGGTCTATGTGAGTTCCCTAGGGTCTTCTACTCTTTTGATAGAGAATGTAGATTTAATCTAAATTTAAGCTTGTTGTTAAGTTCCGTCGAGTCAGTTCCGACCCATAGCGACCCTGTACAGGGTTTCCAAGGGTGTAAATCTTTACAGGAGTAGAAAGCCTCATCTTTCTCCCACGGAGAGGCTGGTAGTTTCGAACTGCTGACCTTAAGGTTCGCAGCCTGATTCGTAACCACTACGCTACCAGAGCTCCTTATGTCAGCTTAAAATGATGATGATATGATATAGACACAATTCTCATCAATTCTGCAAGAGGAATTTATTATATATTTTTCTTTTAACCAAAGCTCATTTACTTTTTAAATACATGACACATGAACAGTTTACTTCACAAGTTTATTCAAATGTCAAGTTTGGCCAATTTAGACCATTTTCATGAATTACAGAATGTTACTAATGCCCTTATAGAAATGCAGCTTTCCCCACTGAGTAGACCCCAGCCATGAACTTCAGATGTAGTCCTGTTTACAGTAACATTGAAACCAAGTATGGCTCACTCTGTTGCTCCCAAGCTCCTTAGGGACCTCCTCCATGTGGAGATGATCAGTCCTGCCTCCATTTCACAGCACAGAAAGTAGCAGGAGCACCCCCCAAATAATCCAATGATGTTGGAATCCTCTCAGACTCCATATATTGGGGCCCAATCAAATGGACTGACTCTCACGATCCCTCCACCAAGAGCAATGGGAAAAAGAATAATATCATTAACAACTACACCATCAACAACATCATCTTTAATTATCATTAATTGCCATTTAAACAACATCACCATCAACATCAGCAACAACACCATCAGCATCAATGGGTTCAAACATAAGAAGGGCTTGGAGTTGGTTTATGTACAGGTTCCTCATGAACAAATTAAATGTTCTGGAATACTCATTCTCCACAATGTTGTCTATAATTTGTCATGATCCACACAGTTGAAAACTTTTGCATAGTTTATAAAGTACAGGAAAACATCTTTCTGATATTCTCTGCTTTGAGCCAAGATCCATCTGACATCAGCAATGATATCCCTTGTTCTATGTCCTTGTCTGAATCTGCTTTGAACCTCTGGAATAATCCTGTCAGTGTGCTGTTGCAGCCAATTTTGAATTACGTTTAGCAAAATTTTACTTGTATGTGATATTAATAATATTGTCCAGTGATTTCCACTTTCTGTTGGGTCACTGCTCTTTGGAATGGTCACAAATATGAATCTCTTCCAATCAGTTGGCCATGTAACTGTCTTTCAAGTTTCTTGGCATAGATGAGTGAGTGCCTCCAGTGCTGCATCAGTTTACTGAAAGATTTCCATTCTTATTCCATCAATTCCTGTAGCCTTGTTCTTTGCCAGTGCCTTCAGTGCACCTTGGAATTTTTTTTTTCAGTACCATTGGCTCTTGATCATATGCTACCCTCTTGAAATGGTTGAATAACAGCCATCATTTTTTTGTCACAGTGACTTTGTGTATTCCTTCCATCTTCTTTTGATGCTTTCTGAATCGTTGAATATTTTGCCTATTGTTGTTGTTGTTAAGTGCCATCAAATCAGTTCTGACTCATAGCGACTCTGCATAGAGTTTCCTAGGAGCAGTTGGTGAGCTTGAATTGCTGACCTTGTGGTTCAACTTGACCTTGTAGTCCAGTGCATTAGCTCTTGGCACCCATAGAATCTTTCAATATTGCAAGTTAAGGCTAGAATTTTCCCCTCAGTTCTTTCAGCTTGAGAAATGCTGAGCGTGTTCTTCCCTTTTGGTTTTCTAACTCCAGTTATTTGCACATTTCATTATAATATTTGACTTTTGTTTTCTTGAGCTGTTCTTTGAAATTTTCTGTTCAGCTCTTTGACTTCATCATTTTTTCCATTTGTTTTAGCATCTTAGTGCTGGAGAAGAAGTTTCAGAACCTCTTCTGACATCCATTTTGGTCTTTTCCTTCCTTCTTGTCTTAATGACCTTTTGCTTTCTTCCTGTATGATATTCTTAATGTCATCCCACAACTCTTCTGGTCTGTGCTCATTAGTGTCTAACATATCAAATATTTTCTTGAGATGATTTCTAAATTCAGGTGAGATATATATGTTCAAGGTCATGTTTTGGCTCTTGTGAACTTGTTTTGATTCTTTTCAGCTTCAGACTGATCTTGCATATGAGCAATTGATAGTCTGTTTCACAGTCTGCCCTTGTCTGGTTTTGGCTGATGATATAGAGCTTTTCCACCATCTCTTTCCATAGATGTTGTCAATTTGATTTCTGTGTAGTCCATCTGGTGAGGTCCAGGTGTATAATTGTCTTCTATGTTGTTTTAAAAAGGTATTTGCTATGACGAAGTCACTGGTCTTGCAAAATTCTGTCATGTGATCTTCAGCATCATTTCTATTACCAAAGCCATATTTTCCAACTACCAATCCTTCTTCTTTGTTTCCAACCTTTGCATTCCAATCACCAATAATGATTAATACATTTTGAATGCATGTTTGATCACTTTTAGACTGAAAAAGTTGGTACAATTCTTCTATTTCATCCTCACTGGCTTTAGTGGTTGATGCATAAATTTGAATAATAGTGGTATTAATGGGTCTTCTGTGTAAGTGTATTGATATTATACTATCACAGACAGCATTATTCTTCAAGACGGATCTCAAAATGTTCTTTTTGATGGTGAATGTGATGCCATTCATATTCAACTTGTCATTCCTGGCATATTAAACCATCTAGTAGCCAGATTGGTAGTATAGTGGTTTCCACAAGGTCAGCAGTTTGAAACTACCAGCTGTTCTGCAGGAGAAAGATGAGGCTTTCTGCTCCCGTAAAGATTTACAGCCTTGGAACCCCTGTATGGGGTCGCTATGAGTCAGAATCGACTCCACGGAACATAACCAACTAACCAACCAATTGTCAGATTAAAAAAGAACAATACCAGACCATTTCAGCTTACTAAGGTATCAATGCCTAGGATATCAATGTTTATGCATTCATTTTAGACAACTTCCAAGTTTTTCTAGATCCATGTTTCATACATTCCATGTTATGATAATTAATGGATGGTTAAAGTTGTTTCTCGTCATTTTGAGTTGTGTTCAAAAGCTTTACTCCATTCACACCATCATGGTGAACTCTACTTTGTGGAGGCAGCACTTAAGCTGCCATTGTTTGAGTGTCTTCCAATATGGGGGACTCATCTTCCAGTACCGTTATCTGACAATGTGTTGGTACTATTCATAAGGTTTCAATGCTCAATATTCTGGTGCTTGCTGACAGTGTTCTGCTGCTATACATAAGGTTTTCATGGGCAAACAATTTGGAAGTCATCGGCTTCTTCTTCTTCCTAGTTTGTCTTAGTCTGGAAGCTCAGGTGAAACCTTTCCACCACGAGTGACCAGGATGGCATTCAAAATACCAATGTCATAGCATCACAACAACACACAAGCCACCAGAGCACAACAAACTGACATGTGATTGGTGGGTTGTTAGGTGCTGTCAAGTCTGTTTCAACTCTTAGCTACCCTAGACACAACAGCTGCCCTGTGCTTCATCCCCCTCATAATTGTCACATTGGAGCCCATTGTTGCTGCCACTGTGTCAATCCATTTCATTGTGAGTATTCCTTTTTTTCTCTAACCCTCCATTTTATGAAACATGATGTCCTTCTCCAGAGATTGATCCCTCTTGATAGCATATCAGAAGTATAAGAGATGAAGTCTTGACATTCTGGCTTCTTAGGAACATTCTGGCTATACTTCTTTCAACAATGATTTGTTTGTTTTTCTAGTAGTCCATGGTCCTTTTAATTTTCTTCTCTAACACCATAGTTCAAATGTATCGATTCTCATATGGTTTTCCTCATTCATTGTCACACTTTAGTCATAAAACTGACATCTTTACTCTTTAACACTTTAAAGACTTCTTTTGTAGCATATTTGTCTAATGTAACACACTGTTTGATTTCTTGACTGCTGCTACCTTGAGTGTTGATTGTGGATCCAAACGAACAACTTCAATCTTTTCTCCATATATTATACTATTTATTGGTCTAGTTGTGAGGATTCTTATTTTCTTTATATTGAGGTGAAATCCATACTGAAGGCTGTAGTTTGGGTTCTTCATCAGTAAGTATTTTAAGTCCTCTTCACTTTCAGCAAGCAAGATTTTGTCATCTGTATAGCACAGATTGTTAATGAGTCTTCCAATCCTGATGCCATGTTCTTTTTCATATAATCCTACTTTTCGAATTATTTGCTCAGTATACAGACTTAATAAGTATATTGAAAGGACACAACCCTGACTCTCACCTTCCCCACTTTTAAACCTTTCAGTATTCCCTTGTTCTGTTTCAGTGACTGCCTCTTAGTCTATGTACAAGTTCTTCATGAGTACAATGAAGTGTTCTGGAATACCTATTCTTCTTAATGTTATCTCTAGTTAGTGAACATTTATAAAGGACTTGGTATTTTATGTGCATTCTCTCATTTAATTGTCTTCTCTGAAGTTGGTACTGTTGTTCTCACTTACAGAAGAAGAAACTGTAGTCTAATGAAATTTGAAATCTGGTGTGAAATGAGTTTCATGAGATGTTTTCTCCCTAAACTTGAGGTGTTACCTTTATCCTAGTTTTCTGCCCCAGAAAGTTTAGTTTGTTACTTTTAACCCAATTGGTTAACATTTCCCGAATAAATTGTAAACAATATGGCTTGATACTTTTTGTCTGGTTTTGGTCTGAAGCCTACCCTGCAATTGGTATGCACCTTGCAGGGATTGGTCAATAGGCTAAACAAATAAAATATCTGTAACCTACTATGCATATGAAGTATCTGTGGCTTCTAAAAGGAGATTGGTCAGTGCATGACCTTATTGGAAGGTTGTGCCTTGAAATTGTTGAAGAGTTTGGGTATATAAACAGAGGTTTTTCCAGACAGACAGAAGTGGGGAGAGAAGCAGAAGGAAAAGGGGAGAGTGCAGTAAAGAGAAAGAAGAAACAAGGAACCTAAAAGAGTTGTGACACAGGTAAAAGTTGTAACATTGAAGGCATTTACAGGCCAGGAAGGGACCCAATAGCAGACCTGCTGGCAACAACTGGCAGGCCCATGAGGAGTCAGTTTTCTTGACCAACAGAGCATACACGATGGAAAGCAACCATATCACTTATGAGTGATTTTGACCTGGTGCCCTATTCAAAGATGGTGGGCTGCAGACATTCAAAGGGATGTGGTCAGCTGCCATCTTTGAATGGAACACCATCGCCTGTTTCTTATTTGGGTAAAAAATCTCCTATTTGTTTGCTATGCATGCATCTTCTCTGTTGGCCATGACTGAGCCATTTTTAACCAATTGAAATCTTTGTCTGAGCCTGATATCAAGTTGCATGTTGATCCTGATCCTGAGTTGTAACTTGCTGCTTCCTTAATAAACCACACAACTCTAAGTCTGATCTGTGAGTTCTGTGTGGCCAGTACACTGACTTATCACACCCAAAAGAGAAGTAGCAAGTCCTGTGGGAGGGACAGCTGATGTTAGAACTGTTAAATGTTGGAGAATAGAGGTATGTGTGACCTCCGCTTCAGAGGGATCCTCATTCACATTCTCCCTCCTGAAGGTAGACAGATGGGAAAAGCACAGAGGATCTTAATGAAGGAATTCCACCATTTGTCCCACAAGACATCTGGCCAGCTGCTGCTCTGTGTGTGCCCAGACCATGCTGGCCTCTTGGTCTATAACAGTCTTTGGTGGTTGTTGATGGCTATGTGCCATGGAGTCCGTTCTGACTCATAGCCACCCAGTGTAGGGTTTTCTGAGGCTATATACCTTTACGGGCGTAGAAAGCCTCATCTTTCTCCTGTGGAGTAGCTGGTAGATTCGAACTGCTGACCTTGCGGTAATCCACTACACTACCAGAACTTGTTTCTGTTCTCAGGGGCAGTACCTTGGTGGATGGGAAGCTGCATTGAGACCAGGGTACAGGGGACTAGTTTGTCTAGATTGAGGTTCTCAAATTCAAATATCTACAAGAGCTAGTACCAGACATGAGACACATGGGAATGGCGAGGACTGTGGTCACTTGTAGACAGCATGACCCATCAAAAAGCTGGCCGTAACTCAGCTCCAGTAAATTGTTTCTGGGAGGAAATATCTGGTCAGTGTTAGCAAATCTGATTTTTTTTTTTTACAGATCCTGGAAGTCTAGTTTATGTGAAACTTCCCAGTTTCTAAAGTACTGTGTGGGCCAAATAAAATACTTGTGTGCTGCGGGCTGCCAGCGTATGACCTTGGTTGAATGAAAAGACCTCTTTCAACTCTAAGCTTCAAATTCTAGGAAAAGTCTAAGACTTCTGTGATTCTCCTCCAGCCACATTTGGCTCAAGTAATGAATATGCTAAGCGTAAAAACTTTGCAGAATTAACAAAATTCAGTACTGTTCCTGGCACTGATGGACCAAAAACAGAGTATGGATAAAATAAATAAATACATCTCAGCATAAACAGACTTGTGGGGATGGTAGCATATAGGCGTCTCTGTATTTAGATTTTTAAAAAGCTTCCTTTATGAATAGGAGCACATGGTTCAAATTTGAGAAAGTAGCAAAAAATACGCATTCAAAAAGTTTGCCTTCCTTTTCTACAGACAACCAATGTTAGACTTTTTAAAAAATATACTTCCCCCTATCTTTTTTATACAAATGATAGAATATGTATTTTTTTTTCTCCATAATGTATTTTGGATTTCCTTATCGGTATATATAAAGTTACTTCATTTTATAAAAAATGACTACATAGTATTTTACTGGGTGGAAAACCATAATGTATTTAATTAGTAGTGGTGGTGGTTGTGTGCCATGGAGTCAGTTCCAACTCATATAGATCCTGTATACGGTTTCACATTGTAGATCTTTGTTGTTGTTGTTGTTATGTACCGTGGAGTCGGTTCCGACTCATAACGATCCTGTACAGGGTTTCCGAGGCTGTAAATCTTTACAGGAGCAGAAAGCCTCATCTTTCTCCCACGGAACGGCTGGTAGTTTCGAACTGCCAACCTTGAGGTTCGCAGCCCGATTCGTAACCACTTTGCTACCAGAGCTCCTTTACGGGAGCAGAAAGTCTTATCTTTTTCCCACAGAGCAGTTGGTAAATTTGAACCACTGAATTTGTGATTAGCAGCTCAACTTGTAATCCATTGTATTACCAGAGATCCTTAATGTATTTGACTGTTGTTGTTAAGTGCCTTCAAGTTGGTTCTGACTCATAGTGGTCCTGTATAGGGTTTCTGAAGAGTAGCTGGTGGGTTCGAACAGCTGAACTACCGACCTATGGGTTCACAGTCTTGTGCTTATCCAACTAGCTCCCCAATTAATGACATTTGGGTTATTTCTAACCTTTCATTGTATTAAGAATGATTTAATGAGTTAACCATCTCTATATATCATTTTGCACATATAAATTCTCAGAAATGTGGAATTGCTAAGAAGATGGATATGTTGTTATTGTTTCTGTTGTTAAGTGTCTTTTGAGTCAATTCTGACACATAGCAATCCTGTATAGGGTTTCTAAGGAGTGGATGATGAGCTTGAACCCCAGATCTTGTGGTTCAAACCAACCTTGCAGTCCAGTGCACTACCCCACGGTGCCACGCCAGGACTACATTAGATGGATAATTTTGATAGCTGTTGTCATATTGTCCTATGAGGTTTCCAGTTTGTATTTCTACTGATGATATAGGGAACTGGCTGTTTTCCTACATTCTTCCTTTTATAAAAATAAAAACACATAAAAAACACAGCATGTTATGAAGAAATTTAGTCTTAAATTTAATCTAAAAATAAGTGGATGTTAGCAATGTTAAATTTTACTTTTAAAATTATGGATGAGGTTGAACATATTTTCACAGATTTAACAGTTTTCATTTCATCTTATCTGTTGAAGTCCTTTGGATAATTGCTCTTACAGATTTGTTTGAACTCTTTAAATATTGGGAATATTAGTTCTTTGCAGGATACTATTTTCTCTAAGTTTGTCTTTTTTTCCCCCTTACCTTATGTTAGCTTTTTAATGGAGAGTTTTTTGTTCATATGGAGACAAATTTATTAATATTTCTACTATGGGTTCTAGATTTTGTGACCTACTTAGAAAGACTTTCCCCACTAGGAAGGTATAAAATGATTCTCCTGGATTTACTTCATTATTTTAGTTTCTTCTTATGCATTTTTAAGTCTTTGGTATATTTGAATTTTTCTCAATGTGTGGTGTGAGATATGGATTCAACCTCATCTTTTTTCAAAATACTGAGTTGTCCCAGAACACTTGTGGAATTGTTCGTTTTGAAATTTCAACACCCTACCTTTGCATGTTTTCAACTTCGTCTATGGTTTCAGGTAAAGTCTTTCCTTTGGTCTCTGGTAGGAGCAACACCAACCCTCCAGCAATCAAGCCCACCACAGCTGAAAGACAAACATGCAAATCATATGAAGAGCTGAAAAATACATATTGGGTAATTAGATCTCACCTTATTTCTATTTTTTTATTTTCTTATGCTTATTTACAGATTCCTGTGCCATCTCTAACTGCCCTATTTTCCATCATAAATATGATGCTGACTCCAAACACCACTGGGTTACAATTCCTTATAGGGAGATGAAGTATGTACTTAATATCTTAAGCCAAAGCTATTCTAAGCTAGAGGACATTGTCACCATATTAAGATACTTTGGAGTTAGAAAATAACTGGAAAATAAATGTTAAAAAAAGGAAGCGTGTAGGCCTGCCAGCATAAAGCACTTTAGTAATGAAAATAAGTCAGAAGTTTAGATTATTATCAGCAAATAAAAGTAATGAATCATGTATTGCTGCATAACATCATTGAAAAGGATAACCAGGCATTTCAGTTAAAAGTCTGAAGGTGCTTGGTAAGTCCTAGGTGCTGTTTTTTTTTTTCTTGTTTCCAGTCATAACCTTTTCTATGTGCTCAGATAGATAATAAACACCCCAATGCCTTTGTTTGTTTAATTTCCCATTGAAGTTGCAGACTTTTAAAAATTATATTTCTAAATGTCTTTCCATCATAGAACACAAGAAGTGGAATGTGGGTTATTTATGAGTTTGGGGGTTTCAATAGAATGCTGGACCCACACACCAAGGCTGAGAATGGGCTGCAAGGAAACCTGGGAAATGAGGGAGCCTGCCAGCAAGCAGGCAAGGTTCTTGATAATCCTTACTTAGGCTGGAAAGAATTTGGGTTCACAGTGGATGGCCTTGGGCATTTTAAAGAGTTTGCCATTAATTGGCCTGCAGCCTAAGTAAAACAGTAGTATATAGAAGTTTATATGTCTAATTCCAAGACTGCTTATATTCTCCTTGAGACCAAACAAACAAATTTTAGGACAACTTATAAAGGACTTAGAGTGTATTGAGGGAACTCTGGTGGTGCAGTGCCTAAGTGCTTCACTGATAATTGAAAGGTTAGGGTTTCAAACCCACCAACTGCTCAGAGAGAAAAAGATGTGGCAGATTCCAAACCAAACCAGACAAAACCAAACTCACTGCCATCAAGTCAATTCCTATAGGATAGAGGGGAATTGCTCCTTAGGGTTTCTAAGGCTGGCAATCTTTATGGAAGCAGACGAACACATCATTCTCCCACAGAAGAGCTGGTGAGTTTGAACTGCTAACCTGTTAGCAGCCTAGAGCCTAATCAACCACCATGGCTCCTCCATACAGCCTTGGGAACCCTATGGAGCAATTCTATTCTGTCTTATTGAGTTGCTATGAATAGACAGCAATGGGGGTTTGACTTTTTCTTTTTTATTTACAGTGCATTAGGAGCTATGCTAAACATCTTACCTGTACTGACTCACTCTGTACCCATACTGTGAGTTGTTGTTGTTATAGGTACTGTTGAGTAGGTTCCAATTCATAGTAACACTACGCACAACAGAATGAAATACTGCTTGGTCCTGAGCTGTCCTCATAATTGTTGTTATGTTTCAGCCCTTCGTTACTGCCATTGTGTCAATCCATCTTGTTGTGGGGGGCGGGGCGGTCTTCCTTTTATCACTGACCCTCTACTTTACCTAGCATGATGTCCTTCTCCAAGGACTGATCCCTCCTGACAACATGTCCAAAGTACTAGGAAGTATTCTTTTTCCAAGAAAGATTTGATATGTTCTTCTAGAAGTCCATGATACTGTTACTATTCTTTGCCAACATCAGAATTCAAATGAATGAATTCTTCTACTACAGTCTTCTTTATTCATTGTCCAACTTTCACATGTATATAAAGCAATTGAAAATACCATGGCTTGGGGAAGGTGCCCCTTAGTCCTCAATAGACGGCTTGTGCAGCAGATTTATCTAATGCTATACATTGTTTGATTTCTTGACTGGTGCCTCCATGAGTGTTGATTGTGGATCCAAGCCAAATGAAGTCTTTGACAACTTCAATCTTTTCTCCATTGGTTATGATGTTATTTATTGGTAAAGTGGTAAGGAATTTTGTTTTCTTTACATTGAGGTGAAATCCATACTGAAGGCTATACAACTTTTGATCTTCAAGACGAAGTACTTCAAGCCCTCTTCACTTCGAGCAAGCAAGGTTGTATAATCTGTATATCACAGGTTGTTAATGAGTCTTCCTCCAAACCTGATGCCAACTCTTGAAATGGTTGAACATGGACCATTTCTTTTTGGTACAGTGACTATGTTTTCCTTCCATCTTCTTTTGATGCTTTCTGCATCATTCAATATTTTGTCCATAGAATCCTTCAATATTTCAACCCAAGGTTTGAATTTTTTCTTCAGTTCTTTCGGTTTCAGAAATGACGAGCATGTTCTTCCCTGTTGGTTTTCCAACTCTAGGTCTTTGCACATTTCATGATAATACTTAACTTTGTCTTCTCAAGCTGCTCTTTGGAATTTTCTGTTCCACTCTTTTACCTCCTTATTTCTTTCATTTACTTTAGCTTCTCTACATACAAGAGCAATTTCTTCTGACATCCATTTTGTTCTTTTCTGTCTTTCCTGCTTTTTAAATGAACTTTTGTTTTCTTCATGCATGATGTTTTTGATGTCATCTCACAACTTTTCTGGCCTTTATGTCTAATGCATCAAATCTGTTCTTGAGATAGTCTCCAAGTTCAGGAGGGATATGTTCAAGACCATACATTTGCTCTCATGGACTTATATTAGTTTTCTTCAGCTTCAGCCTGAGCTTGCAGATGAGCAATTAAGAGTTTGTTCCATAGCCTCTTCCTGACCTTGTTTTTGCTGATGGTATTGAGCTCTCCATCTTCACCTCCCATAGATGTAGTCAGTTGGATCCCTGTGTATTACATCTGGTGAGGGACACATGTAGAGTCAATGTTTATGTTGTTGGAAAAATGTATTTGCAATGAAGAAATCACTGGTCTTGTGGAATTTATTCATGTGATCTTTTCAGTATTGTTTCTACCACCAAGATCATATTTTCCAACTATGGATCCTTCCCCTTTGTTTCCAACTTTGTATTCCAATCACCAGTAATTATCAGTGTATTTTGATTGCATGTCTTATCAATTTCACACTGAAGAAATTGGTTTTTGTTATTGTTAAGTGCCGTTGAGTCGATTCTGACTCATAGTGACTCTGTACAGAGGTTCACAGGAGCAGCTTTTAGATTTGAACCACCAACCTATGGTTCAAAGTGCAGTGTTTATTCTGCAGTGACACACCAACAGTTGGAAGAAATCTCTAATTTCATAATCTTTGGGTTTAGTGGCTGATGAGAAATTTGAATAATAATGGTATTCACTGGTCTTCCTTGTAGGCATATGGATATTATGCTATCACAGACAACATTGTACTTCAAGATTGAACTTGAGATGGTCTTTTTTTTAATAATGAAATGGACTACTCAATTTCAGCTCATTATTACCTAGGATATTGATCTTTATGCATCCCGTTTCATTTTTGACAACTTCCAATTCTGCCTTTATACTTCATACATTCCATGTTCTGATAATTAATGGATATTTGAAGTGATTTTTGTCTCATTTTAATTGTGCCATTTCAGCAAATGAAGGTTCTGAAAGTTTTACTCCATTCATATTATTAATACCAACTTTATTTTGACAAGACAACTCTTCACCAGTTATAATTTGAGTGCCTTTTAAACTGAGGAGTTCATATTCTGGTTCTATATTTGACAGTGTTCTACTGCTTTTCATAAGGTTTTCAGGATTCACAAGTGGTCTTCCTCTCCTCTTCCTTGACTGTCTTAGTCTGGAAGGTCTGCTAAAACCAGTCCACCATATGTGACCCCACTGGATACCAGTGGCGTAACTTTGTGTCACAATAATGCACAAATCACCACAGTATGACAAACTGACAGATGAGTGGTGGATTCTGAGTTAGGTATTATAATTCTCTTTCTGTTGATGAGGTAACAAGTGGATAAGCCACTTTCCCAAGGTGAGCCAGCTTTGAACCTGGTTTCCTAGTCAGCAGCACTGGGCAGTTATATTGATGAGCCTCACTACCCCCTTCCCCTTGCACAAAGATACTCTGTACACTTTTCGGCACAATTTTAAGCTGTACAATGGTACTCCTAAACATAAACAGCTCTGGTGGCACTGTAGAATAAACACTGGACTACTAACCACAAGGTTGATAATTCAAACATACCAGCCTCTTGTGGGAGACAGATGGGATTTTCTGGTCCCTTAATGATTTAAGGGTGTGGTGCTGTGGGTTAATGAACTGGGCTTCAAAGTCGATTTGAACCACTAGGTTGATGGTTAAAGCTTACCAGTCACTCCTTGGAAGCCCTATACAGGGCTGCTATGGATCAGAACCAAATCGATGGCACTTAACAACAGCAACAACAATGATTTACAGCCTCAGAAACCCTTTACACGATCGCTAAGAGTTGGAATCAACCTGATGGCAGTGGGTTTTTGGTGTAGTGCTGTAGGATAAGCACTAACACTATTAGTATACTGTCAACCACTCACTGGAAGGCTGGCAAGTCGAACCTGCTGAAAGGTGCCTTGGAAGAAAGGCCTGTTGATATGCGTCTGAAAGGCCATAGATTAGAAAACCCCATGGAGCAGTTCTACTGTGCAGCACACAGGGTTGTCATGAGTTGGACTCAATGGCAACTGGTTTGGTTTCTGGTTATTATGAGGAAGATAAATGGAAAGAAGTGAAAATGTAAAACAATTTGTTTGCTTTCTTGCTGACTGGTCAGATTGTTGTTGTTGTTGTTGTTGTTAAGTGCCTTTGAGTCGGTTCCGACCCATAGCGACCCTGTACAGGGTTTCCGAGGGTGTAAATCCTTACGGGAGTAGAAAGCCTCATCTTTCTCCCGCGGAGTGACTGGTAGTTTCGAACTGCTGACCTTATGGTTCGCAGCCCGATTCGTAACCACTACGCTACCAGAGCTCCTGACTAGAGGTCGGTAAAGGAAGAAGATGAACGTACTGGCAAAAATGAAGTTGAGGTTTGTCCTTGAATTTATTTTCATGTTGAAATGCAAAGTATAATCTTTTCTCTTTTCTTTGGGGGAGGTGAGGCTTGAAGAAGGGTCAGAACAATTCCTCATGGACTGCACTTCTCATTGCTTTGTTAAATGGTCCCTAGACAAACACTAAGTGGCCATTCTCTACCCAGGAACACTGTCTTCCTGAGGGAGAAGTCTAGATTGAGGCCTTTCCAACTTCTTCCCAGAAGGAAGGAGTTAAGAAGTTGCATGGGAATTTCACCAAGAAGGAAAGGAGCAACAAGGTCCTCAACCAGTATTGTGGGAAGGAATCAATCTGGGGTATATAGGTTCATTCGTAATGCCAGTCACTCTGTGGCCAGACCACCGTGATCTCAGGATAAAGGACGTGTGTTCTTTTGACTTTGGCCATCGTGTGGTGATTATGTTGGAATGTGGAGGAATTCACAGGGTTTGTTTTGAGAGTTAGTTCTATCAACAGTCTAGAACTTTTTCTGGGAGATCTACAACAGGGGAGAAATCTTCCCCCCTGACTAATCCCTGGAGGATGGGGAAGAGTAGCACACTGGAATAAGATAAGCATCCCCCTGGTCAACATCTGGGGGTCTTTTCTTCCCTCCTTTAAATTAAATGAGTGTTGTAGGTTGCTGTTCTCAGGTGCTGTCAAGTTTGTTCTGACTCAATGACCTCACGTGACAGATTAGAACTAGTCCACAAGGTTTTTTGGCTGTAATCTTTCTGGGAGCAGATCAACAGATCTTTCTCCCTCAGAGCTGTTGGGTAGGCTTGAACCACCAAACTTTCAGTTAACAGCTGAGATCTTAAACATTGAACCTCCAGAGATCATGAAATGCTGTATGCCCGTGGGAAAAAGTGCAACGTATTCAAATCACAAGAGGTGTAATGTGGGTCTTCAAGGAGATGGAACTGGTATTTAGAAGCAGTTGGGTTAAGATAAGAAGGTAGGAACTGTGTGCATGAATCTAGAAATTGTATTCACATCACAAACATCTGAGGGACACACAGAAGGGGGAAGATCTGTCTCATGGTCTGTCACTGTAGGGAAAACTAGCGGACTCTGGGAGAACAGAAAACTCAGGAATTCTCTTAATCTACAGATGTTTTGCTCAGCACATGTCTTGATGTGCTAACTGCTGATAATTGGACTTGTCCTTGTGACCTTGTATCCTCCTTCCACTGGGAGAGACAAGGAGAGGATGCTGGCCTGTCCTTGAACTGACTGTGTTAGAGGAGGATGCGTGCCAATCTTCCATAAGTCTAACTGCCAAGGAGTCTGAGGAAGGAGCCCCCAACACCCACACAGTGTTCCATTATGTCCCTGCCTTTTCTTAATGTTCATTTTTGTTTTCATTCCAACTGCCTGTCTTTGAAGTAATAAAGTAGTTTTCCACATCTGGGCATAGAGGCTGCAGAAACAGTTATCCTTTGACCAAAAGACCCAAGGAGGGATGGAAACCATTGGGGAGAGACTCAAGGGCCTGCTTCATGGAAACTTACTTCTAGCTCATTTTTCTCTTGGACTTTCTACTTTGAATGTTGTGAACACGGAACTTTGAGAGTCCTCATGGGGTGCCATACTTGAGTGTTAGTAATTATCTGCTTGACTCCTATTTTCAAGTAGGAAAATGAAGGTCCTTAGAAAAATATATTTTCACTCAACAACATTGATGAGGATATCTTACCAAAAACCATCAGTGGGAGTTCATGCCAGACGTCGGTGAGTCGATACACAAGGAATGGTGTGAGGATGCCACCAATGTCACACATCGATGAGCAGACCAGGACTCCAAGGTTCCTAAAATGCAGGAGGCCTGTTTAACCTTCCACAGGATGCTGCAAACTCCCACCCCAACCCCAAATAAATGCTGTCCCAAATCATTCCCATGTCTGCGAACTGAAGCAAGACGTTTACACTATTTTTAATGCACACACACGATAGTGCCACTTGCTGTTGAGTTGGATCTGACTCACAGTAAAAGCAGAATGAAATGCTGTCTGATCCTGTACCACCTTCATGGTCACTGATGTTCTAGAGTCCATTGTTACGACATCTCGTGGAGGGTTTCCCTCATTTTTGCTAGCCCTCCATTTTACTCCCTTCCCACAGGATGTCCCTTTCTGGGGATCGATCTTTCTTGATGATGTGTCCAAAGTAAGCAAGTCCAAGTCTCTCCATCCTTGCTTCTGTATGTGGTACATAATTCCATTCATACTCTGATTACTTATTTTATATAAACTTTCTTAACCATTTTGAATGGGAGAGGGGAGCCATTTTTACTTGGCACTTGCATCATCTGATTCCTCTCTACCATTTCTAGAGGCCTATTTGTGCACCAAGTCCTGGTTTGGGGCTGTTGGATAAAGCACTGGACCACAAGGTTGATTTGAACCCCAAGGTCAGTGGTTCGAACACACCAACTGCTCCTCAGAAACCCTATACAGGGCCGCTATGAATTGGAACTGACTCGATGGCACTTAACAACAACAACAACAATTTTTGCTGCATTGGAGGAATCTTTCCTGGTATTCATTTGGTCTCTCCCTTTTGAAGCTCAGTATCTCCTGTTCTGAAAATTACCCCAGCCTCAAAATATCAGACGTGAACTGTTTGGCATGGCTTCTGTCCTCATCTTCTCTTTTTAAAAATTTGTTTTATTTTATTTTAAATGTCTTATTGTGAATAATGTGATAGTTTACATGGGAAAACATTAGTTTTACATTCATCCTATCGTATATTGTTTCATTGCCATGGTTACAATCCCCTCCATGCATCATCAACCAACCAAAGGGTATATCCTACAAGCCTACTCCGCTCCCTCCCCCCGCCCCAGGTCATCAGCACACAGCCCCTCTTCCTCTCTGGGTCTAAAGTCCCCAGCTGCTCCATCTCTCCACGTCATCATCTCTGTCTCCATCTCTGGCATCATTGCTTCTCTGGGTAAGGTCTCATTCTCCACTCTTCTCCCTTCATGGTCCCAGGGACCTCTGCTCCTAGACTGCAAAGTTAATCACTCCCCTCCTTGCTACAAAACATCTACCTTTACATTTACAACCCTCAAAATCAGTCCTGATAGCAATTATTCACTATTGTATCACAAGAGACCTATCCACCTTTCCTTTCATCAGCTTTGCCTAGACGGATTGGATACTACTCAGTGGAGATTCTACCTTCCTCCAGGCCCTCTGGATCTAGGCTCCCTCTTGAAAGCTTGCAAGCCAGTCACTTCTTGCCTTTGTAGTCCCCCACCCCTTGCAATTTTGGGTAGCCAATGTCCAAGTTGCCCATCCCTGTCTACTCTGTGTATGGAGGGGGTGGGAATGATCCTCGCTGTAAAGATTTGTTCCCTCTTTTGAGCTACTGCATCCATAGGTGTAGGTCAAGTTCATCAAATTGTATCAGATTACTGTTTTTCTCCTCTTCTTTCTTCTTCTAGTTGAGCTCTGATCATCCAGTCATTGAAGCCAGGTCAAGTGGGTATTATCTGCAAGTATGGATGTTCTTATGGCTATGCCTTCTCTTCTTATCAGGTGGATGCCTCATCTTCTCTTACACTGTGTGTTGGACAGTACTGTATCTTCACCCCTGCACCTGAGGTAGGCCTAGTCAAGCAGCAGATACTTCACCCACTTTGTGCTGAGACAAATATACTCACCTAATGAATGTGGGGTACAGTTCTGCATTGACCAGGCAAACCATTTCATAGGCCAATGTAATCCCCATTCTGCCCAGGCACGCAACTATAACTTTTAGCCATTGTAAGTCTGAAAGGGAAAAAAACAACACACCACTTATCCATAATGCACACAATACTTTGTCTTCAAAGAGTATTCAAGAGAGGTTTTGTAAAAAGAAATTCCATATTCCAGAATGGGATTGTTGTTGTTTTTAAGTGCTTACAAGTCAGTTCCAACTCCTAGTGACCCTGTACAGGGTTTCCGAGGAGTGGCCGGTGAAGTTTGAACTGTTTTTCCATAAACTCAAGACAATGTCAGCAAATTCCCCATCTCTGTTTGTTTTAACAATAGATACAATTGCCTCTCATAGCTCTGGACCTCACTAGTTAATGTCAGCAGAATTGCATCTGTTTATAAAGGTGGGTCAACTTTAGTTTAGCAAGATCACAGCAAAATGTGGACATATTTTAAACAATTGCTATTAACTGTACTCAGGTTGGCAAATCCACCAACTGCTCCTTGGTATCCCTAAACAGGATTGCTATGAGTTGGAACCAACTAGACGGTACTTAAAAACTACTACAACAAAATTAACTGAAAGATTAAAACCAAACTCCATATTGCTAATGGGATTCTGTTACATAGGATATTGTTCCTCTTCATTGAGAAAGTATTCGAAAAAGAAAGAAAGAAACCGAGTGATTGTTTATTGATTGCATTACTTAAACTGTCTCATTTGACCTGCAAGGCAATCTTGAGAGGTCAAGAGATTTGTCTAAATTGTAACTGGACATATTGCTCTACCCCAAAGCCCATGCTCTCTAACTTAGGTCAGCACCACAGCCTGAAGTGTGGTGGGTCTTCATAAACTTTCCTGTAATTTTACACCAAGAGAAAATTGGATAAAGGCTTTACCCAGGAAAGTTCCAGATGTTGTCTTCTTTCTTTCCAAATTGATTTGGTTGGTGATTTGCATGCTCATCCTCTCTATGGGTCATGACACCCCCTCTTCTCAAGGCCTTGCAGCTTTCCCTGAAACTTACCATCGGGAATAAAAACTGAGGCCAGACAGGCTGCCCCCACCACCATATTTGATCCAGCCCAAGGATAACGGCGGCCGATGCGGTCGATGGTGAAGATGATGATGAGAGCAGCTGGGAATTCAACCAGGGCAGAGTAGAAGAAGTCCAGGTAGATATTGGCTCCTGCAAGGCCCATATGCATGATGAGGCCCTGATAGAGAACAGAGCTCGTGAACCTGAACAAAGAGGAGAGCCTAGGTCATGCTAAGCACTGAAAGCAAGTAACCGAAAGGGTGAGACATCTAGAAAACCGAGAAATGACAGTAGGACATCTTCCTGGTGCGATTCCCTCTCTGTTCCATTGCTTTTACACTCTGCTCTACTGTGGTTCTGGTTGTGACCCAAGCATCAGGAAAGGGAAGGGGATTAGGATAGCATTCTGTGACCCAATTAAGAACCCAGAAGAAATGTCTCAATGGTTAGAGTGATTAATTTAGAACTCTATTGAGTTTTTTATGGACTCCTGGTGTGGCACTGTAGGGTAAGTTCTAGACTACTAACCACAAGGTTGGCAGTTCAAACCCACTAGTTGCTTCACAGAAACCCTATCCAGGGTCACTATGACTATGAGTCAGGTCAGAACTGACTCAACAGCGCTGAACAACAACAACGTATTGAGTTACTAGTGGTTGCTTAATTATTTCTCTTTTTGACCTTCTAGTGGAAATTGGAATCAAGAAGATTGACTGGTTATATCAAATTGTAGGAAACCAGATGGGTAGAGTCACTCTTCTTGATTGTTTGTGTTCTGACATGATGCAGACACAATACTTTTGATGATGTTTCTGGTTTTGTTGGCTAAAACATGTTCATTACCTGTTAATGGAAAATATGAGAGTAATGAACGGAAGTCATGTTTATTCAGAAAAGGAAAAAAGGACAATGGTGCCAAATGTCACCACTGCATTTTATAAGCCACCTTGTAGAGGTTGTGAAATTAATTTTTGATGACCTTTGATTTTTGTCAGTGGTGGTAAACTTTCATTTGGCTGGTGTGGAGTCCAATGTGCTCTGAAGTGAGCCTCCTATGAAGGGCACAGCACATGGCAAGCAGCTCCCAGTATCGACAGCAACTGCAGACTGGACACAGGGAAGTTCAAGTTATTGAATTGTGGTAAGGGTGCATTATTCTTGTTCATAAATTGATTTTCTCCCTTTTGGCAGATGCTTCTTTTTCTGCCAGCCCTGAACAATAAGAAGAGATCTACACTCTTGTTCAATTAATCAAGACGAATAGCTCTCAATTTGGGCTAAGTGTTAGAAATATATTTAAAAATATTGGTTAATGGCTGTTGCCCAGATCAATTACATCAGCATCTTTGGATGAGGGCTCTTGTCTCAGCAGTTTTTAATCTATCCAGATAAGTCTAATGGGAAGCCAGAGTTGAAAATACACTGCTCTGTGCTTGGGGACTATAGACAAATATCAACATTTTCCTGAGAAAAATGATATTGGAGAAATCTGCTGTAAACAAACCACATACTGATGTTCATCGACACTGCTAATCCTGGGATTAGCTATGTTCTGAAGATGCTGCTGCTCCCTCCCCCTGATATGGATGACTGGGATTAGAAGAATGGGGTGGTGGTGGCTGTGTGCCATCAAGTCTGTTCCAACTCATAGTGACCCTGTTTAGGATTCTCGAGGCTGTACATCTTTACGGGAACAGAAAGCCTTATCTTTCTCCCTCGGAGTGGCTATAAAATTTGAACTTGACTTTGAGGTTAGCAGCCCAATTTATAACACACTACACTAAAACAGCACACTACCAGGGCTCCTGAAAGAATGTGGCTGTTGTTGTTGTTAAGTACCGTGGAGTCGGTTCCGACTCATAGCGCCCCTGCACAGGGTTTCCAAGGTTGTAAATCTTTATGGGAGCAGAAAGTCTCAACTTTCTCCCATGGAACAGCTGGTAGTTTCAAACTGCTGACCTTGGGATTAGCAGCCCAAGTCATAACCACTATGCTACTAGAGATCTTAAAATGAAATCACATTCCTTACCAGTTGTACATCAAGATCAAAGTGTGTTTCCTTATCTGAGGGGTTCTGACCAAGTCAAGAAATGAAGGATTCAACTTCTCGCCAACTTCCTCATCAGGTCTAAGGCTCTAAGAATAGAAACAATAATGACTTTGTATACGTGGTGTTGTTCCTGGGTCCTGTATGAAAGAACACTTCACATTTATCAAATCCTTCTCATGTGCCCAGACTACACTGAATATTTCACACCCATTTTACACAATCTTTACAAAGACTCTGCATATTGTTGCTGTTGTTAAATACCTCTGAGTTGGCTCCAATTCACAGCAACCCTGCACAGGGTTTCTAAGGAGCAACTGCTGGGTTTGAATAGCCGACCTTGAGTTTAACAGTCCAGGGCTTATCCTACAGTGCCACACCAAGACACTGATCCTATGTGTTAGCTTTTCATTTTTCACCTAGTTTTACAGCAGAGGAAACAGATACAGAGTAGTTAGGTCATTATGGCCCATATATTGTTGTTGTTATGTGCTGTTGAGTCTGCTCTGACTCACAGTGACCCTGTATAGTGGGGTGGAGAGGGAATGTCCAGCCTGCAGTCCATATAAAGCCTGTGAAATATTTGGTCTGGCTCTGCCAAGGCAACCACAGTTCCAGTCATCACATTGTTGTTGTTAAGTGCTGTTGAGTTGGTTTCAATTCATAGTAACACTCTATAGAGTTTCTGAGGAGCCGCCTGTTCAAACAGGTCTTGAGGTTAAGTGCTTATCCTATGGCACCACACCAAGACTCCTAGGCATCACACTGTTGTTGTTATTGTTAAATGCCATCAAGTCAGTTCTGACTCATAGTGACCTTGTATAGGGTTTCTGAGGAGCAGCTGGTGGGTTTGGACTGCCGATCGTCTGGTTTGCAGTCCAGTGTTGATCCTACAGTGCCACACCAGGAGTCCCTCACATTAGGGGTGAGTTAATTAAATGTTTGACCAAATATAGCAGGCTAATTTTTACATTGATAATTTTGTATGGCCCATGAATGATGTTATAAAATTTGGCAGAAAAACGGTCCGAGTCTTGGTGTGGCACTGTGGGTTAATGCGCTGGACTGCAAGGTCAGTTTGAACTGCAAGTTTGGTGGTTCAAGCTCACCATTAGATCTTAGGAAACATTACACAGGTTGCTTCGAATCGGAACTGAATGGACAACACTTAACAACAATAGCAATCCCTGCTAGGCAGTTGTAGTGGGAGGCTTCAAAAAGTTTGTGGACAAATTCCATTATCTTTTAATTCCATTTTCCCACAAACTTTTTGAAGTCCCTTCATACAGTGATACTATTTGTAAAGCCCAGAGGTCTAGTCAGCTGCCCACAGGCTGAGCAAATTGGCATCTCCTCACACCTGGAACCATTTGTGACTCATCACATAGGAAGCTCTGCTCAGGGGCCTTGTAACTCAGTCCAGTAGCATTAGCTAAAGCTTGTTTGAAATAAAGATCCTTTGTTCCACTTAAATCAGAATCTGCCCTTTTTACAAGATGACCATTGATGCTATGCACATATGCAGCAGTTTGAACCCGTCCCCCCTCAAGTTAATACCCATCATATCTTCATGTGACTTTATTTGTAAATATGATGCAGCCTCTGCAGGTCAGCAACTTGGTATCATTTGGGGATTAGAGAATCACTATGAGTCAGAGCTGACTTGATGGCACTTAATAACAACAACAAAATCTACTGAGTGGTGTCCTTATAAAAGGCGAGTGTACAGGGAAGATGGCCAGAGAGGGTACAGGGAAGATGGGGGCAGAGATCGGAAGGAGGCGCCATGGAGTGCAGCAAGTCACCAGAAATGGGAACAGGCTGTCTCCAGAAGGAAGTAACTCTGCTCGTTGATTTTAGACTTCTGGACTCCACAGCCGTGAGAGAACACATTTCTGGGTTTTTAAGTCCTGGAGTTTGTGGTAATTTATTACAGCAGCCCTGTTGTTGTTAGGTGCCATCGAATTGGTACTGACTCATAGAGCCCCTATGAACAACAGAACAAAACACTGCCTGGGCCAACCTTACAACTGTTGCTAAGTTTGAGCCCATTGCTGCTGCCACTGTGCCAATTCATCTCCCAGCCCTAGGAAATGAAAATGACAGCTATTAAAGTTGGAGAATCTGAGAGAGCAGGGTTAGTAGATGATGGAGTTGAGATTCAAACTCCAAACTCTGGAAGAAGAACTCTCACACAAATAGGGGTTAGAACCAGTTCACTCTGGTTTAGCTCCCTGCTGAGATGGTACATTTCCACCCTAGATATACTGAATCAGAATATACATTTTAGCAAGTTCTCCAGGTGATCCCTCTGCTCATATTCTCATAGCCACATAAGGACCACCTAGGGATCTTGTTCAAAATGTAGAACCTGATTCAGTATATCTGGGGTGGAAATGCAAATTCTCAGCAGGGGACAAAACGAGAATGAACCTTTTCAAATCCCTGCACACAAACCACTCCAGTCTGCCTCCTTCCATAAAGGAACCTGGACTGTGTGTGGGAGAATGAGGGACGGACAACAGAGAGAAATCTCCCAATTTTTCACTATGCGTGAGCCCCATCTTTGGGGGCACAAAGCCTCACACTATAATTCCAGGACTACATCTAAGAGGGCCTAAAACTTAAGAATCAGGTTTGAATATCAATCATCAATAGGAAAAAAATACATATCTCAACCACCCAGAATCTAGGTGTCCAATCCAAAGATCCTCACTATACACTATAAATGTCATGAGCGTCCCAACGTTTTAGAAGTAACTCATCCTAGATACTCATTCAGAAATGATTTATTCTTATTTAAACACAATTTTCAATTAAGCTTCAGTGTATTAGCTAATACAGGAAGAAAGCCCAGGAAATCTGTTTCCAAAAATTTGCCAATGAAAACCCAGTGGATCACAACAGACTATTGTCCAATCTAGGAACAGGCAGCACTTCATTCTGTGTACATTAGGTGGCCAGGAGGCAAAGCTGACTTGACACCAACTAACACCCACAACAGCAATCAGCTGAGTAGGTTTCACTTAAAAGTGGATGAGCTCTACTAAAGACAAAACACTAAATACAGAGAAAATGGAACTCTGATTCTGTGATTCTGTTGAAGAAGGTAGATGTGTTTCTAGAACATGTTGTTGTTGTTGTTAGGTGCCATCGAGTCAGTACCGACTCAGCAATCTTATGCACAGCAGAACGAAACATTGCCCGATCATGGGCCATGCTTGAGTCCATCAATGCTGGCACTTGGCCAATCCATTTCATTGGGGGGGGGTCTTCCTCTTTTCCTCTGACCCTCCACCTTACCAAACATGATATCCTTCTCCAGAGACTGGTCTCTCCTGACAATATGTCCCAAGTATGAGAGACGAAGTTTGGCCATCCTGGCCTCCAGGGAGCGCTCTGGCTGCACGTCTTCCAAAATGGATCTATTGGTTCTTTTGGCAGCCATGGCACTTTCAATATTCTCCTCCAACACCATAACTCAAAAACATCAATTCTTCTATAGTCTTCCTTATTCACTGTCCAGCTTTCACATGCAT